CATATGTATATTAATGTAAGTTTTAATAAGCATAAATTTAATTTTAAATAAATGTATGTACTACATATTTAATACATTAATTATATTACAAAAATCTTTGAATATAAAAAAAATTAGATGTAATTACTAAATTAAATATATATCTAAATTAATAATGATTTTATTTGAAATAAACACAACAGTAATTTGTATTTATTTATCAAATAATATTCATTGTATATAAACATTATTTATTAACTGCACTTGCTAATTAGACTAATTAAATTTCCTTGCATGCGGAAAGACATAAATTAGACTAAATAAATTATAGCTAAAAATAAATTACATTCTTATACTATTTCTATGAAATTTGTCGACATTTCATGCCTATAAATAATATGAGTCACTTGCAATAGACGTGCATGCAACTAAATTTGCATATCTATTTACATACACTCACGGATACACACACATACACACACATGTGTGTTCTTATTGGAGCAACAGCTGCAGCTGCAGTTTTGGGTCGTCGTCCACGCTGAAGTCGAGTGCCGCTGACGCAGCCAAACTTCAGCTGCATGCGTCGACATGGTGTTCGGAAGGGAGAGCACTTGAAGCCGGCGTGCAACAGCAGCGCAATGATAAGAGCTGCCGGCAATGGGCGCCAAGAAAAACACGCGAAAGAGTGGGATAGAGAGAGAGAGAACATAAAGAGCGGCCAAGCACAAACTAAGAGCAGAGCACAGAAGCAGCGCAACAAAAGCTTCAGCAAAAGAAAAAGCGACATAAAGAGAAGAGCGCAAAGGCAAAAGCTCTGCAGCTGTGGTGAACTCAACAAATTTGAATTTTTACTGCAGTAACATTATAATAAATAATACGTTAAAAAAAAGTTTAACAAAAAAATAAAAAAATAATAATAATTGTTAATGCTTAATGAAAACCATTTTATATATTTAAGAAAAATGTATAAATTGACTTTCATTTTATAAATCCTTAAACTGTAATTAGAACATACATACTTCAAATTTTCCAGAGTCCACATATCTCTGTATATAATATATTTCGAGCTCATCGTTTAACGATGCGACGTGTCGTCGCGACGGCGTCAGCAGCGACGTTGGCAGCGGGTGCAAACGCGACCTTGACCGTGAAATTTAAATTTAGAAGCTACGGCCGGCTACGACGTAAAAAAATTGCAAAAAGCTTTTCGGCTTTCTTTGTGTAAGTGTAAATATGCAGGCACACACAGACACATTAATCGGAGAGTGTATGTATGTATGAATGTGTGTATCAGAGTTAAGGGAATTATAATTGCAATTAAGCCACAGGTATACCCTGTCTCTCTGTCTATGTGTATATCATACATACGTACGTATACCTATTATATGTGCAATTTATATGTCTCATGTGCCTCTTGGGATATTTGCGAAATTCGAAATTTTATTTTTATCAGCAGCAGACGCCGCCAGACGGTTTAATTGATATGTGAACTTGCATGCAATTATGCAAATTGTCTAAGAATACGATAAACGAATGAACATTTAAAAATAAACATATGTTGGCTTATTAGGATATAAAATAAATATACAACAATGGAAAATACTCTATGTTTACGCAACTGATGTTAGTTGATATGTTTTCGTTAACTATAACTTGTAAATGGGTCTCCTCAAGAAATATGGGCAATTATCAAGAGTTTCATATGTATGTAAAAATTATCTTAAAGTGTGACTTCTCCAAAATTTTAATATAAAATGTAGGCATACAATAACTTTCTTTCTTTATAAATAGTTGAGTCGTGCTCTACGACATGTAGCATGAATAATAGAAATAATACAATAATACAAATACAAAAATATTATATAATATATTTAGTTATTAGATACTTTTATCCCTTAAGATAATAGCGTACAATTTTCATTTTTAAATATTCATTCGTCTAAAAGAGAAAATAATAATATATGTTTTGTCTTTGCTGCATTAAAAATAATCATAAATAAAGACAATTTCAAAATTTATTAAAATATACCGCGACAGTGTCACAATGTGCCCAGTATTAAAAAATACCAACATACTGAAAAAAGTAATGTAAGAAAATATAATATACTTGTATATAAATGAAATCTAATGATTATAAACAGCAATATACAAACAAATGCAATATTTTAGTTTTCTACAAAATAAACAGTTTAATTAAAATTTAATATTAATAATTTGGAAAAACATATGTTCCGATTACACATATCTTTTAGCCGCCACCTTTTTGATGGCAGCTCATCGAAAGTTATCGATAAACATACATTTTTGCAGTTGGCGGATTTACTATTTAGTCTGTGTCTTAACTTGCGTTATTTGATTGAAGCCATTTATTGTCCCTAAATATATAGAACCCGTTGTGACTTCCAATAGTGCTTTGAATTTATATTTGTGTCAGCCTTTAGCAATTGGTAAAAGCTGTTAATTAGTTGGCAAAGAACTCTCGCGCACGTGGGACGCTAAATTATTGCACAGCGGACACATTCCATGCCAAAATGCTAGAAGATTCGTTGAGCGAGTATTTTCTGTGCAATTTCAATGATGCACAGCACATTGAGGGTAAGAAATAAAATTAAATATATAAGTTTGTCTATTACTATTATAAAGAGAAAATTATTGCGCAGATTTGCCGGCTGATGAGCGACTGCAAAAGCTGTGGAGCAGCCAAGAGCTGTGGTCAGTGGACGAACTACAGACAATAATAAAACGATGGCAAGGCAACGACCAGCTGGAGTTAACTGGCATCGAGCAGGCAACAGAATTGCTAAATGATTTCCTACAATTGATTTTCGCCTTTGTGCAAAATAATTTCACTGGACCATTCGATAAGCTGGAAGGCTGCACAGAAATGCTGAAAGACCTGAAGTTGGAGCAGAGTGAGGCGATGGAGCAGCTAAAGGCCAGCGGCGAGGAGCTGAATCCAAATGTAAAGACTGCACAATTGTTGCTTATAGCCAAGCAAATGCTCAAAACTCTGAGCGCTGCACAGCCCGCATCGAAGGTGAGTTTACTTGGGCCAGATTAAGATTAAGAATGGGAATAATCTTCATCAAATTCCTCTGCAGGTCATCTGGTGGTGGCGCCTGCGTTTAGTCTGCCTGCAACAGCACATCCTGGACGACCTGGCGAGTGCTTTGTACGAGGAGTTCAAGCTGGCAGCAGCTGAGCTGCGTCCCCATTTATCTGCTTTCGCTCAGCTGGAGCTACAAGCGCTGCTGCTGCTTGAATTAGCCAACGGCTATTTGCAGTTCCATCGTTCCGATTTGGCAGCCGAGGTGCTGGATGAGCTCTGTGCGCATTTGCAGGTGGAACTAAATGTGGAGGGTCTGCTCGGCCTGCGCACCAAGTTTCAGCAGAAGGCGCTGCCTCAGCTCTGTCTGAAAGTGGACCAAAAATCGTCGGAGGAAACTTTGCCCAAAGCTGAGTTCAGCAATGCTACAACTAGCTTGCCACACTTGCTGCTTCTGGAGGATGATACGCGCCTGGAACGTATTCGATTTATAGATCCAAAGGACAACGAGGTGATGACGCTGCCCAGCGTTCTGCAAGTCCTCGTGCTGGCCAAGGTGTGAGTATGAATCGCTATACATAAGTATTCTCGTAACTCTGACTCACGCTATTTCCTTTGCTTTTCAGCAAGCAACTGAAGCGCTCTCAGCCCAAGGATCGCCTGGCAGATGAACAGCTGGAGCCGTATACGCGAACCTTGCTCTATCAGCAGCATGGACCTCTGCAGGTGCGTCAGTCTGCGTTGTTGCTGAACTGCATCCAGGAATCCAATCAGCGGCGCACCGTGGAGCGCAGCTGGAAGCAGTGCGAGGAGTGTGTCAAGCTGCTGGACAACGTGGAGAAGTATACGCTGCGTGAGCGGCTCTCCTATGGCTTCGCCTCGTTCCTGCAGCCCAAGTGGCAGGTGCAGCTGCAACTGGTGGATCTGTTGCGCTCACTTGGCATGACGAAGACGGCGTTGGATGTGTGCTTGCAGATCCAGGCCTGGCAACAGGTCATCGAGTGCTACACCAGCTTGGAGCTGCGCCACAAGGCGGCAGAGATAATACGCCAGGAGTTAGAGAAGCAGCCCACTGTGCTCCTCTATTGCTTGCTGGGCGATGCAGTCGATGATCCGCAGTGCTACGAGCAGGCGTGGGAGTACTCCAAGCACACCAGCGGCAAGGCTCAGGCCTATTGGGGCAACTACTTCTATAGGCGCGCCGAGTACGCAGCGGCCATCGATCACTACGAGCTGTCGCTGGAGATCAATGCGCTGCAGGAGCCGATTCTGCTGCGCTGTGGCTACTCTGCCATCCAGCTGGAGCGCTGGGCAACGGCTGTCAAGTGGTATTTGGGCTACACGCACCTAGAGCCAAATGGATTTGAGTCGTGGAACAACCTGGCCAAGGCGCTCATCAAGCTGGGCGACAAGGAGCGGGCGCACCGCCTGCTTGGCGAGGCGCTCAAGTGCAACTACAACAACTGGAAGGTGTGGGAGAACTATTTGCTCGTCTCGGTGGACACCAATCACTGGGAGGATGCGATGCGTGCGTACCAGCAGCTCGGTCAGCTCAAGCAGCATTTCCTCGACGAGGAGGTGCTCACGCGCATTGTCTACGGCGTTGCCAGGCAAATGGAATCCGAGTCCACGTCGCAAGCTATGTCCAGCTCGCTGCGTCGCCGCCTAACACAGATGATGGGCCACCAGTGCATTCAGCATGGCAATGAGCCCCTGGTCTGGGAACTGGCGGCCCTGGTGGCAGCGACGCCCATGAAGAAGGCCGAGCGACTGGTCAAATGCTATCGCGCCTACACGGCCAAGGAGCTCAACTGGGCGAGCCAGCCGGCGCACGCCAAGAAGGCGCTCAATCTGTGTTTGGAGGCAGCCGAGCTTTCGATAGCCGCCATCAAGGATCATGCCGCGGACGAGAGCGAGACCATGGTAACATCGCAGCTCAATTCCTGTCGCCTGGCGACCACCTCCTGCCTCAATGCGCTAGGAAGCAGGGGGCCGGTGAGCGGTAACAAGGAGCATGCGGACCAAATGCAGCTGCTGGAGCAGCAGAACAAACAGCTCGCCAATATCGTGTCCCAGCGCATGAATTTCAAGTCAATGTAGATAAGGTTTATTAAAACGTCTTTCATATAATCTATATATTTCCTTTATTGTATTCCATTTTCTATATTCTAAAGCGTATTCAGCTTCGTGGTGATGAGGACGCGCACGCTTTGATCGAAGGCGCCGGCAACAGCCAAGCCCAGCTTGTCCGGATGCCAGTCGAAGCTGTGCACGGGCTGGGAGCTCAAGGTTACAGCGCTGATCATATGCAGTTTGCCGGCGACGCCTTCCTTGTTGCCATCGGCATCCTGGAAAACGCGTCGATCCGGGTACTCGTACTTCCAGAGGCGTATGGAGCCGGTGCCGCTGCCCGTCAGGAAGACGTCGCGGTTCTGCGGTACGTGGCGCACGGTCCAGACTGTGGCCTTGGGACCAGTGATGACGCCATTGGAGCCCACGCTGCGACCAGCATTGCGCTCCTCCACGTAACTGAATCCCTTGGTGGGGTGCTGGGTGCGCATGTCGTAGACCAGAAGGCCGCCCTCCAATGTGGTCACGGCCAGCTTGTTCATGGGTATGTCACGGCGATCGAACTCCAGGCCGCAGATGCCGTTCCTAATGGTCGCCTCCCAGCGCACGCCCATGGCCCGCAAATCGAATAGCTTCAGGTCCCCGTTGTCGTAGCCAGCCGCAATGAGGCGCTCCTCAGCGTTGAAGGTGTTGCCAAAGGCAAGCGCCCAGCAGTCGCGCCGTAGATTGCTTCTGTTGACGCCGTCACCCATCTGCGCTGGCGGCGATATGTCCACCACGGGCTCCTGGCCCTGGCGTATGTCCCACACCTTGACAGCTCCATCCCGACCGCCAGTCACGATTTCCGGTGCTCCACACTCCAGCTGTGTGCCGCCAATCGCATCGATGCAGTTTATTATGCCCGTGTGGCCTTTTACATTATATACAGCCATCTCGGGACGCTCCAGATCCCTGTGTGGAAGGACTATATATGTATTGGCATCTATTATAGAGCTAATTAGCCACTTACAGCACTTGCAGGCGCCCCTCAAAGTCGCCAATGGCCATGTGCCGGTTGCGCAGCGAGGAGGCGCCAAAGGTGCCACACTTGAAAGCAGCCTTCTTCTCAACTGACTTGACCTTCTTGAGCTTATCTTCGTTCAGCTCGTAAATGTCCAATATGCCGTGGCTATTGGGCTTGGAGCCAAGCACCACGAATTTGGCCGACAGGGGTATCCATTTGGTGTCGTATACCGTGTAGGCCACGGATTCGTGTAAATGTTCAATCATCTGTGGCTTGTCCATGTTTTTAGCTTTTTTTTTATATATTCAATTCTGCCTTTTAAATGTTGAGTTTCGAATCTATTGAAAATTCAAAAGCAACTTGTTTTCGGAATGTTGCCATGGTTCCTTTGATAACATTCGACCGACTAATAATCGCCGGCACGATAACACGCGAAATAAAGTGATATCGATTATGTTGAAAGAGTATTTTAAAAGATACCCTGTTGTTGGCAGGCAATTAGTATTTATTAATTTATATATTTATATAATTAAGGATATCAGTTTTACCATATAATATAGTGTTTTATTTTGTAATTTAATTGAAGCTTTTATATATTACAATTTTTAATTATATTAGTTATTCTGCAAAGAGATACCCGTCGCCAATGGACTTGAATAAATAGTGAGTATCTCAACTATCGATAGCTCGTGTGAGACTATCGAACGTGGTTTGATGCCGTAACAGCGCAGAAATATAAAGAGTTGAATTGTTAAAAGAAAACATGCTGCGCGCAGGCTGCCAATTGCTCAATCAGTCCACTGTGGCGGCTGCCAAAACAGGCAGCAATAACTTTGCACTGGAATTCGTCAGGTGGCGCCGCAAACCGCGCTGGCTGCCTGTGGCTAAGAGCAAGCTCTTCCGCGTGCCAGAGCGCAAGAAGCAGACCGAGGAAGAGCGCACGGAGCTAATGCGGCTGCACAATCACTACAAGTGAGCATAACAAAATAGAGAAAAACATTCATTTATAACATCTCTCTTTGCCATACAGAACCCAGCTGCGGTCAGTGCGTCAATATTTGCGGGAAGAGGTAGTGCGCCAGCAGGAGACTTCCACTGCGGATCACATAGTGTTGACGCCCGAGCAGGAGGAGGCCGAGTTCCAGCGCTGCGTTGAGGTAAACGCCGCTTGGAACGCCAAGATTGCCAAAGAGCGTGAAGTGCGTTTGGCCAAGGAGCGCGAAGAGAAGGTGGCCTACGTGCAAGAGCGCCTCGAGGCTGGCAAATTGCGTGAGGAGGAGCGGCGCGAGCGAGCCAACGAGCGGGTACGCTACGAGATTGAACAGTCCAAAACATTCATCACACGCGAAAATCTGGATGAGGCTATTGAAACGGCGCTGGCCAATCCCGTGGATTACAACTTTGCCATCGATCTGGCGGGCAACATGATAAAGGGGCGTGCCACGCAGCCGCAAAGCAACTAGGACTAGGAGAAATACTTGTTTCGTTACATTTATAAAAAATAGAGTTTACTCGGTAATCAATATGCAGTTAAATAACTTAATCACCCTATATTTACAAAAATTATTACATGCGCCTAAACTAAACTAAACTAAATCTAAATTGGATTCTGTTGTCGAGTTTGGCGAGTGCTACGTGGCAGCAGATGATCCCGTTGCTGCTGTGGGTAATGTAGACGTTGCGGATTTTGGTTGTCGGGCATCTGCCTCCAGCTGCTTGAACAAATGCTCCCAATCGGGCGTGGCCTTTAGCTTCGCCTGGATGGGACCCAGATTAATCATGTTGCCGCTCCTTTGCTCCCGATTGCTGTTGATGGACATGACCTCCTGAAATACACAAATTTACAAATTTGAGATCAGAAAATTTGAGGAAAATTTATCTGCGATTTACCTGAAGGAAACCTGAATCTAAGCCTAAATCTAAATCGAAGTGCGTGTCGCCCAGCTGAAGCTTAACCCGGCCGGAGCGATAGCGTAATATCTTGCCTATTTGACCCTCCTCCAGCTGTGTTAGCATACTGTGCTTGGGCGTGCCTTCCCGTCCCGACGTGGGTAACGGGCTGTTGGGCTGCTCTGAGGCGGCAGCACTCGCCGTCGGCTGCTCTGTGCTTGCTGCTGGTGCTGCATCTTCACCTTCGTCTGCCACGCAGGGCAGCACGTTGGGCAGTTGCATGATAAACAGCTGCGATTGGGGCGCGTCGAGAAAGGCGGCAATACTGCGGGGATAGCGTCCATATTGTGCGGGTGGATCCTCCGGTCTGGACTGCACGTGCAGTTGCTGTAAATGCTGCGCCACAGCCAAGGAGTCTGTGAAAGGGACACTTGAAATGATTTGGAAAATTGCTTTGCAAATTGCTGCCTACCTGTTGCATCCGCATTTTCCTTTGGTATGACTGCAGCTTCCTGTTTTAAGTTCAGCTTTTGGCTGTTCCAGAGACCTGGCAAGGCAGAGTTTTAATAGCTATTAGCTTATTAGGCAAGAATTCGTCCACTCACCCTCCTTTAGCATCACTGGTTTGAAGTTCAATTCAGTCTTTTCAAGGTCACTTTCCTCATCCTCGGACTCGTCGTCTTCGCTGGCATCGCTACCCGCTAGCTCGCGAACTCGCTGATCGGGCGTCTTATCATCCTTGCGCTTTCGTGACACCGCCACTTCTTCGCCGCCGCGCGCATAGGATGAGCCGCCGCCCCCGCCGCTTGAGGGTTTTCGCACGTGCACTGCTCCAGCGCCTTCTGAGAAAACGCCTGTTGTTTGAATGAGTGTTGAATTGCCATTACCGGCGCCACGACCACGAGTTGCACCACCAGCGCCACGAGCACCGCGACGACCACCGCGAGGCTGGGTAAAGTCCTTGGACGTCTTTACATTGCTGTAGAAAAATGTACTCGCATTAGTTTTAATCCTCGACTTGCCTTAACCAAGAGCTACTCACATGTTCTTGTTTCGCACCGCATTTAAATTAGGTGCAAATACTTTCTTAGTCGCTGTTGCCCCTCGTCCGCCGAGGGTCAAGTCTCGAGCTGGCGTTAACCGTGACATTCCGTTGGACATGTTGCTCAGTGGAGTTGTTGTCGTTGTTGTGCTGGCTGTGGCAGCTGGCTGGGCCGCTGTTGACGCTCTCTTGGCTGGCATTGTTAACTGCCGTTCGGCACTGCCGCTGGCCAAATGCGGCCACAGAAGTTGGCTATAGAATTTATGTTGATTATTGAGAAATTCAACGAGCTGGGATTTGACGATGATTGAGGTTAATTGAAACAGTGCTGTAAAATGCATACCATATACGCACATGCCGATAAACGTGCTAAGCGAACCGATATATCGCCGCACATATCCAGTGTTACCGTATCCAAGGCAGCTTGTACTGCGTGCTTTGCAATCTGCGCGGCATTTGAGCTTACTGTGTGTAAATATTTATTTATTTATTGTTTCAAGTGATGTATAAAGTGGTTTCATGCATCCACCTAAATGTTCTATGTGCTAGTGTAACGTGTTCACATCAAATACGCCTCAAATTGCAGATTTTCGTGCCGCGCGTGTGCTAAGCTGAGATGCCGATCAGCTGTTTGTGTAATTTGTGTAATAAAGCCGAATATATCGATAAGTGAATAAATATTGCAATCGTTTTCGCGGCTTGGTGATTTGATTTTGTTGTTTTTAAAATATAAGATCATTAAATGCAATTGATGGTGTGATGTTCTTTAAAGTTGTGTTTTTGTGTTATTGTTCGGCAACATGCAAGCTCGTGTTTGAAATTAGCTTGTTAAAATAAATCGCATTTGCGTGTAGTGTTTGTGATTGATCAGCTGAATAGTCTGTAAAGGTAAGTACATATTTACATATAATTATTAATTCTGATGTACATAAATAATATTACCTATAGTTAGATATGCAATATGAATTCTAAGTTGCTCTGTGGCTTATACGCACACAAATTCAGTAAGAATACAGGGTATTACGCTTCCTACTATGTGCCATTTATGCTCAATGCTAATGCCATATGTTTACAAACGTGTTTATAATTTGATACAATTGCTTTCCATGTCTCTCTGTCTTAATTGAGTGCACGCAAACTTTTAAGCAAACAAGTTTAATTTTTATTTAATTTTTGCTTTAATATCACTAAGCTTACACTATACTTTATTTCCTGATAATCCTTTTAAATATCGGACTAGATTAAGAAATGACTGATCATAAAAATACATATGTACATATATCATTTCTGTATTATGTGTCTAGCCGGGTATCTAATCTTCGAGTTCGAAATCGAAATGTTCTATCTTGTTGGCAAAGTTCAATAGAAATATGTTAAACCGTGAATAATACTATTAGGCACACACCTGCTAATATATCATTGTCAATAACGACTTATGGGCTGTTCCTCTATAAAGCATAGTCCATGCGAACTTTGAACAAACAAACCTTTCTGTCTGCATAGATTATGCTAACTGATTGAGTACGATAAAAATATTTGAATCAAAAGAGAATTAGTTGCATTAGTTCTTATCAATATTGTTTGACTTGGCTGATATCAATGGATTGAGAGTTGTTCCCTTTCTCTATTCTCTCTCTCTTTCTCTGTGTTGGGGAGACGATTCAGTAATTCTCTGTTATTTGTGTGTTAAAACAACTAATGTCGTAACTGATAAGCTCAGGTCGTTCAATTGAACGGGGGAAATAGTGAATTTCATAATGCCGCAAAAGTTTGCGCGCTAGTATTTCGGAAACACTCGCCGCGGACGGACGCATACGAGGGCAGCACCTGAAACAAAAAAAAAAAAAAAAAAAAAAAAAAAAAAAAGCAAAAACATGGATCTAACTGGAGAGAAGACAGCGGCAGAGGCGGCTACCTCAACAAATCACGATGCAGACTATATAGCAAAAGCTTTGGCATTGGCATTCAATAGTGAAAGCTTGCGAGTGGAGAGCTTTCACAGTGAGCCAATTATACAGCGTGGCGAGAACTTCTGCAGCGTCATCTATCGGATAAAAGTTGAATTTCGCAAGAGCGAAGATGCACCGTTAGAGCAAGGCAACTACGTGCTGAAGGATTTGCTGCCCATTGTGGCCGAGGTGGGCTCCAATGAGAAGCTAATGTTCCAGGAGATATTGCCCGCCATGGCAAAGATATTGGAAAAGTCTTCGCTGGAGGAGCACAAGCTGAGTGCTGAGTAAGTGAACTCTCTCATTTAAATATAACAAATATATTAATCTTTGTTTACTTTCAGCTGTCTTTTTGTGGAGCGTGAACCAGGCAAAGAGATCTATTTGCTGGAGGATCTCTGCGCACTGGGCTATGCCTCAATGAATCGCCAAAAGGGCTTGAATCTAGAGGATGCTGAGATTTGTGTGCACAAATTGGCACAGTTTCATGCTGCTTCGATGCTGCTGCTGCACGAGCAGCCGGAACTGGTGGGTCAACTGTCGCCCTCTCACTATGCCGAGGGCCTGGATGACCCCTTTGCCCAGGTTATTGTGGTGAATGGCACGGCCTTTGGCGCAGACGTGGCGGCCGAGTTGCCGGGCATGTCGAAAATAGCAGACAAAATGCGAGCTCAACTTCCGGCTGAGTATGAAACGCGCATGAAAACTGTGGTGGATGGCAAGAATACGGCGATGCCAGTCATAGTGCATGGCGATCTCTGGCTGAACAATCTGATGATCAATGCTGCGGAGAAGAAGGCTATTATTGTGAGTACATACATATATATATATCCAGGATTTATTGAAATTGCAATTTTTTTACCTTTCAGGTGGATTTCCAAAACTGTTTCATTGGCAGCGCCGCCATCGATGTCCAGTTCTTTCTGTATACCAGCTTGCAATTGGATGTGCTGCTGCAGCACCGTGAGCACCTGCTGAAGCGTTACTATGAAAGCCTCTGCCAGACCTTGACTGCCTTAAATTATACCGGCAACACGCTGAGCTACGAGCAACTGGTTGAGGAAATGCGCCAGTGTCTCTTCTATGCCTACTATGCCGTCGTCTGTGAGCTGCCCATTTGCTGTGCATCCAAGGAGGCGGGCGAGGACTTTACCGTGGCCACTTTCATGAGCTCCGACGCTATACTGGCCAAACGTCGCCAGCTGTTCGCCAATGAGCGTGTGCTGGAGACACTGAAAGCAATCTTGCCCTACTTTGATGAACAGGGCATATTAGATCCGTTGTAGGGGGGGCAACGATTTGACAGCTTTGCATTTGTATTATTTATAAAATTTAAGCTATAGTTGATGGCGATTCAATTGCAATGTTCAAGAGAGTGAGAGAGAGAGAGAGTGAAATCTATCTCTGTTTGTTTCTTTGCAATTTAGTTTAACACTTCAAGCAATATTGATCTAAGAGATCTAAATGTATTCTAATTCAAATTTTCTTCCAAGTTTTATATAGTATTAGGGCATATCTAGTAGCACTGAGTAGAATAGAATTTGCACAAACTTATACAAACTAATAAAGGATTTATATATGTATATATGTATTCAAGTCAGTTGCTAAACAAAGACTTGAACTATTAAATGCTTTCTTCGCTCGAGCAGGAGCTGTTGAAAGTAAAGAGGGCATGACGTGTGCCTCTTATGAGCTGCTGTTGGGTTCGAGCGCAGACTTCACTGTAGCCGTGGGTAGCTTTTGCTATTGCTATTGCTATTGCTATGACAGCTACACAAGTTGCATTACTCAAGTGTTTCGGTTTGTTGTGTTTATAAATAAATTTTCGTGTCTGCCAAAGTTTCTGGCCAAGATTTACGAGTAAGAGATGGCAATTGAATGCATGTGTGTGTGCGTGTGCGTGTGTGTGAGCCTTGTTTGGCTGCATTGAGTGCGATAAAGTTGGCATCGCTTACTTCACGCTCCCTGCCCCTCCCCCCCTCCCCCTTGTTGAGGTGCAAAATATGCAAATCGCTTTGCAGTTATTCTTAGAAAGTTGTCAGTTTCGCAAGCGAGGCTAAGCCAAGCGTGCAACGGCAACGTGGCAACGTGGCAGCCTGGGGTAAGCAGTCCAAAATGCACTTGACACCCTGCAACTTGTAAGTTGTAAGTGTTTAAAAAGCAATTTATTGTTTTGCCCAAACGCAAGCAGCTCTGTCCCAGTCCACGTGTTCAGTGCTTTAGTCAGCTTTGCATAGAATTTTCTTGGGCTTCTGGGAGTCTGTGCATGTAGATTTCTATTCGAAATTCTCTAGATTCATTGCTAGGCAATTGGAGTCGTATTTGCTTTCATTCTCTCTCATGGCTGCTGCCTCCAGCGGAAATTCCTGCACCAAGTTTGTCTTTCTGTTCCCCATTTTTTTTTTTTTTTTGGCTACTGCAGCTCGTCATGGTGGGGCAATACAAATCAAAGGCATAAAGTCCGGCGTCTGCAGCTTGAAGGCATTAATTGCATTCTGCAGCATCACATTGCACTTTCAATTAGTTGCAAATGCCTTAGCTCCCAGCCCCTGCAGTCCGTTCAGCCCCTTCTGTGTGGCTGCAACGCCGTTGGCAAAGTAACAGGAAACGGAAGTTAAGTGCTGAGGCGAGGCGTTAAGTAAAATCAACCCCCGCTCCCCTCCTCCCGCACACCCGACTGCAGATGAAAGCAGCAACAAAGCGGCTGCCCAGCCATGACATTGGAGAATTATGCATTAATTGAAAGGCGATTCGCAGGGATGTGCCCCGACTTACGCATAGGTGCAACAACTTTGACAGCAAGTAGATTTGTTTTGGCAGCTCCAGAAAGTTGACCCTCACAGCTACTGTCTGCTGTTGCTGTTGCAGTTGCAGTTGATGCAACTTAAGTTCCCCTTCCATTGCATGCACTTTGCTGCCGGGCATTTTCCTTTCTCCCAATGCAAACAGTCAACTGTCTGCCTCTGTTTCTGTCTCTCTCTCTCTCTCTCTCTCTTGCTCCCTGCTGCATTTCAAAATAGATTTATGGCTTTCTTTCGTCTTGCATTTGGAGGTGTTTGTCAGGTCGCTCTCATTGGGGTTGGCTCGTGCTTTCAGTTTGCTTTAGCCGCACACTCATTTGTTTGTTTTGAATGTTAATTAAGGCTTACGATTACCAAAATTGGCTCAAGGGGTTTGCTTCTCTTACATGTTTCTCTCAATTTGCATGCGTGGAGTTGAGAAATGTAATTCTGTAAATGGATTTATATCAAATCTTTGTGGACGCTGATAGACAGTGAACAATTTTTATCTCGTTTCATATTATGCTTTTTCTTTTTTAATTTGTTTTTATTGCATTTATAATTTATATATTATTTAGTTTAGTTTTATAATTCATATTTAAAACTTGATGTTATTTCAGACTTGAAAAATCATAGAAAATGTAATTAAAGTCAGTTTCTTGATTTATAAATGCTCACTGTTATTTACAGTAATCTGTTAGCAGTTACATTTCGCTGCCTAACACTACGTATATCAATATGTTTATCCACTGCTCATGGGTATAAATTTAGTTGCTGGCTCACTAAATCTTGCGATTATTTCCTTATCACAGCTTTTTTCAATTAGCTAACACCACTTTGGCAAGAGTTTGACTAGGAGAGAGCGAGTGAGCGCGGGAGTAGAGTGAGAGTGAGAGTGAGAGTGAGTCTCAGCTTAAGTAAGCGACGTGCACACAATTAAAGGCAATAAATTTGCACATAAGACCATAAATCAAAGTCCGATCATAATCGCAAAGCGCCAAGCAAAACACAAACAAAACCAAACACAATCCTAGAAAAACAGCGAGCGAAAACTGAACTTCCTGACTATCGGATGGATATATGTATATACCGTGCCTATAGTCAACCCCCATTCAGTGGACCCCAATTGACCGCAGTGAGCTTTCTCTGGCTACTGACTGCGAACTGCGGACGGCGGACTGCGGACGGCGGACTGCGGACGGCGGACTGCGGACGGCGGACTGCCTTTATTAATTGTACAACTGTCTCCAATCATAATTAATGAACTTTGGGCACATCCTCTCAGAGACTCGCATGTCCGCTCGGAATTCAAATAAAACTAAAGTCGTTGTAACACAAATGTATTTTGGCACACCATAAATCTTCTGTTTGGCAAATCTGTTCTGGGTATTCGCTGTCTAATGAATGACAGTTTCAATTAGGCACATTAAAGGATTTTCCAAGGCTTATTCTCGCTTGTTTTATGAGTTTCTAATGTAATGTGAGCTTACATGAATGGAAAGAAGTTTAAAGTATTTCTTTCTGAATAATGTTTACTTTAAAAGTATTTAGTATTTAGTCGAATTTACATTTCAAGAGGTATACGAAAAAGTAGCAGAATATATTAAAATAGTAAAACTCTATGCTGTATAAAATGAGAATTAAATGGTTGATACTTATGTAGTATATAATATCTCAAACAGGGACTCTTTTAGTCTAGTCTTTAACTATGAAATTTTATTCGTAAGTCTCTCTAGTTTTCAGTTTTGATTAAAAATATTGGATATAATCTTTAACTTTGTCAAGAAATCGATTAAAATCGATATCAGACAATAGTTCAATAAATACAATCGACAAGTTCTTTAAGTAATCTATTAAACACGGTATAATACTTTAACGACTTTTTGCACATTTCATAAGTCACAATAGTTATATGATATCAACATCACAAAGTACACACGGACAATAAGTTCTTCTTCTTCTTCTTCTTTACCCACTTCTCTGAAAATAGAACTAAATGAAATCGAGATTTTCTGTAAATAATCTTCAAGCGTATTTCTGGTGTAATCCACTCGCAGTTATCCAACTCGAGCAATCTTATTTACATATCAATTCAATGATTCTGACTTGAAGCACTGCAAACGCTTAGCATTCTGATCTACAAAGGCGTCAAAAACTTCGTAATGCTCACACACATAGACTCAGTTATTGAGTGTAACTAAATGCTAGATCTATTAAGCTTAGCTGTACTTGTGCATCACCAGCTAAAGCTAATGACTTGCAATAAATAATTTTCAGTTCACAAAAGAAGCCACAGAGAATTTGCATATGAATGCCTGGTATCTCTTATGACTGGAAAATGTCGTAGTCTTATGCCGCCTTTGCAACCCCTCAGCCCTCATCGCTGGTGAAAAATTGGACAGCTATAGCAAACAGCAAGCACACATGATTACCATTTGAGAGTCAGAGAGTCGGTTAGGGTTGGGGATTTAGGAACAGACCTTTTCTATATACAAGCAGCTAATGACTAATGATGCCACAATTTATCTTGACTGATTTGTAAGCAAGTGTTAATGTTTTTTAATCTACGTTACGTCTCTTGCACTATGTAACATCAWCCACCTCCCCCTGCTCACCACCCACCGCCCACCTCCCACGGCTCACACATGTGTGCATAATTACTTAGCCTGAAAAGAGCTTTTGTCATCGTTTTCAAATTATATTCAAATTCTGCCAACGCGAACTCCACTGACAACGCTGATAAATGAGCCACTGAAGGAAAACTCAACTCAACTCAACCCAACTCAACTCAACTTGCCTCGCCGCTCTATGAAAAATTAACGCAATTTTCTTATTTGCATTTAAGCTCGGCGAGCAAGTGGTCGTATCATAAGAGCTACTCCTGATAATTATGTGGGATTTGCATATGTAATTTTCCACGCTAATGCCCGCGACTGCAAAGTCATTCAGATTTGGAATGGAGTTACTCTGGGTTTCTTTTCTTATAGGCAAAGAGCTGTTTTACTCTCTCTCTCTCTCTCTCTCTCCTTTCTATGCGTTTCTCTCTCTGGTTCTATCCATTATTGCATGGGGAATTGCAATTATGAAGTAAAAAGAATTCTCTTCATGTTTTTAGTCTAAATCAAATTTACATTGAGAGTTAAAATTGGCAATTAAATCTATAAGAAATGTTTTCTTAAAGAGAAATCGCTTTATTGTCGTAAAAATTATGTGAACTAGAAGTAAGAGAAGTAAGAAGTATGCTTCTCTTTCTCCCTTTATTTCTATTTCCCTCTTTCACTTTTCGAGTAATGCCAACGAATATTTATATTATACAATTATATAAGTAATAAATATTTATAAAATGACTTTAATACCTCGTATAGTAGGTTTTAGGTTTCAGTTTTTTTATTATAGAGACAATACTTTTATCAAGGGGATAGAAATTTTTTCGATTTATCACGATTTCTGATTTAGTGGGTACAAATTATTGAGGATCGACTGTATTTTTAATTATTTAAGATATGTAAGCAATATTTCAATATATGTAAAAAATTATAGGAAAAACTTATTTTTAAATTGGATACCCTATAACGAATATAGAAAACTTTTTAACGATCAGTTGTAAAATTAATTGCTATATAAAAAATTTGTTAAACTCTTGAATACCTATAACACCATATAACTTTGCTACTCTCACCCAATATATGCACATAATCACATTGGATCACCCATAAGATCTGCCCTATCACTGCTGCCACAGGGTGTGCAAGGTGCGATGCTTGCTTTATAGTTTAGCTTCTTGATTACCTGCCCTAGTCTAGGCTGCGACACTCATAATTAATACGCTTAAGTTAGCTTACTTAGTTTCAATTTGCACGTTGCGCTGACAAATTTCTCCGCCCTGTTGTCGGGCGTTCATTAAAAAGCCATTAGAGCGAAGCGACGACGACGATGATGACGAGGAAGAGGTGCAGGAGGAGGGGGAGCCGGAGGAGGAGGAGGAGCTCCAGCTTCAGCTCCAGCTCCAACTCCAACTCGAACCCATTAGAGAACTTCTAACAAACTCGAGTACAAGAAATTTTGTGGAGCTGACTGCTAAAATTACGTGTACAAGCGGCATCTGCTCAGCTTGTTGTTGTTGTTGCTGTTGTTGTTGCTGGCAAAAGTTTTCTTTTCTAGCAACTGCGTGGGAAATGCCGTCGATCGGTCACGATCGGCAATCAGCAATCAGCGCTGAGCGATCAAAGCGAAGACACAAACCAGCTGAAAATACATGCAAAATGCAAAGTTGATTTTTATCATTGTTTGTTGGTTGTTCGTCCGTTGTTCGTTTGTTGTTCGTTTGTTGTTTGTGCTGCATTTGCCATTCGTCTGGCCTTTAAAGTGATTTGCCACTTGACAAATGAGCTGACTGCCACATGTGCAATTTAGGAGACGACTACGCGAGGCAACAAGAGCAACTGCAACAACAACAACAACCACGACAACAACAATTTGTGTGTTGCCAATTTTCGCCAAAGAAAAAAAAACAATAGACTCCCTGTCTGCCTTGACAATTTGTGCATTGATTTGGAAAATGGCCCTAACAAATGGCCAAGAAATGGAGCGCACATGCATATCTATGAAAATGACATAGAAAACTCTGCCGTCGTTGTCGAACTCTTCAAAACAACAAAAAGAGAAAATTTGTTTGTTTGCTCGCGCACACTCACATACACACACACATACAAAGGAAAATTGGCCAGAAAATTGGCGCTATCAACAAAAGCAACTTGCAGAACACCAAACTCGAACTCAGCTCAGCTCAGCGCAGCGCAGCGCAGCGCAGCTCAGCTCAACTGAACTGCAGCAGCAAACAGAGCGAACCCAGAAAACTTGGAAACAAAAAACAAATTGGTTAGAAATAGAGTATTGTTACCCTATGGACTGACCTTCGTTCGGTGTTTGCTACTAACATTTAAATTTGTTTGTGCAGTCAAAGTTCTTTCTTTTTTTGAGGGGGGCAGAATACCCTATAATTATGTGTGTAGTGTAGAGCGGGTTGTTTGGTTTTTACATTATGGAAAACTTGAGCTTGGGTAAAGAATAATGTTGGCTACAGGATATCTATTAGACAGGCTACAGGGTATCTACAAGGCTTGCAGGGTATCTATTAGGCTAGCACTATTGGATAGCTTTATTTTGCTTTATATATATGTTAAATATATATTATTTGAGTAATGCAAAATGCATGGCTTTATCTAGTTCGTTGCTCTAAATCATTACAGGGTATCTGTTAGTTGAGTAACTTCACAAAAACACTTCTTAGGCATCTATAAATAACGCATGGGCCGTCCATTGGCATATATATGCTCATTGGTCAGTATTTCGCACACCATGTAGGCCAGTTTACAGGGTATTTTTAGTCTACATCCAGCTGATGTACAAAAATAGCTTAATCCATATGCTTACAATATTTCAAGATTTCAAAACTGCTTAAAATTATCACTTAGTCAAACTGTTACATTTTTACAGGATATATTTTAGTCGAGCCTAAATACTTTATTATTATATAGTATATAGTATTACAGTATATAGTATTACAAATATATAATTTATTTATATATTTAACAACATACATATTCAAGCAAGAAATTTAATGTTGAATTATAAAACATATGCATCTCCTTTATGATTCTGCATATGTGATACATACATATATACCATTTCTACATACGTCATATCATATCATATAGTTGTCGATGCTCTGCATCTCTGTACCGTGCACCACTGCCTTTACCATTCCAATCCCAAACTAAACTCTGTCGATGTAAAATATCATCAAGTGCGCAAATAAATCTAATGCAATTACCTTAAAAGCGCCAAACCATAAAAACATATATGCGCTGACTGCATTTTACAAAAAAATAAAAATGAAGAAGAAGACCAAGATTTTTATGACATTTACGCGCGGTAATAAAAACTAAACAAATTCCCATTTTGATACGAAATGCGAATGGCGCCAAGTCCGAGCCGAAGCCGCTGCTAACTGATTGATGAATTGCTCGACTGGTTGCGGGTTTTAATGGCTTACAAGAGGCGGCTGGGCTGGGCTGGGCTGGGCGTGGCTGTAACGAGACATCTTTTATGTGGCCCACAGACATGGGCCAAAAAACTAATTACCTCTCTTGGACCTAGAGCTCGTCAGCTTTTTAACGGCGTCCGCTTTATAGACGCAGCCATAGATGCTGCGGTTTGGTAGTCGAATATATATATGTATATGTATATAGTTTTAATGGCATTTTGCATACGATTTACAATTTGTGCTGCACTGCATCGATAAAGGGACGACCCTTTTGCTTTTCGCAGCACATTTACGACATTCTGAGCGAGAGACCAGCCGGCAAATTTGACGCATAAAAACGCATCGTCGCCAGCATAAAAGTGGCTTGAAAGTTTTTTGGGAATGTGTAGCAAATATATTTCCCTATAAATGTTATTCATAGTGCCAACGTCGGCAGCTACGGCCTGGAGCAGGGGCGACAGCTCTGCTCGGCTCTGCTCTGCTCTGCTCGGCGTGATAACTCAAAATGTGTGAAAAGGTTTTTGACATTTGTGGGCAACAATGCAGAATTTATGGCTGGAAAATGTCTTTTTGGATTTTACTATTAATTATGATTGGACGGCAGTTAGATATATTTTTTGATAGCTCTGAAGGATATAGCTGAGTCTGTAAAAGGCGGTTGGCTTAGGTTTTTAATAGAAAATAATTTTATATGAAACTCAGTAGCAATTTATTAATTTTTATATTTTCTGATTTATATTTTGTATTTTATATATTTAAAAAAATTTTACT